AGTATACTTTACCCCACCTCTAAATACCTCATCATAGCATTCCATGCGATTCCAACGGTGCTAGGTGAAGCAGCTCGACAAAGGCGCGGCTGCGTTGACTGTCGATATATCTGGATACTTCAAGTGCGCCAACCTTCAAGCTTCAAGGTTAGACGCGCCATTGAACTTTTTCCGAGCCGTCTCAACTTTTGAAAAGCTTAGACGACTCGGAGATACGAAAGATCTCAGTAACAAAGGCGGCAGAAAGGCGGGCAGACCCGGCCCATGTCAACGAGTACAGTACCGCCACGTCGTCGCTATGAGAGACGAATAGTTATATTCCTGTCGTACTTCATAACTAGCACCAAAGTTGGCATATTGCGCGAGATCTCAGAATTGAGACGACGGAATTGATCACGTTACTAGATTCATGGGCAGAACGTAACCGTATAGTCCGCCGCAAGCGAAGAGGAACAAATCAACGTCTGTCCGTCCTCATCTGTGCAATCCGTCAGTCACAAAGAAGAAGCGTGGCTCGGTAACGACGTACCATAGGCAAATGCAAGAGCATCCGGGCAATTATTTTTGAAGTAACTGTAGTACGCGACTCCAGATGCGGGGCATGTTGCGGGGGTTTCATGGCTACCAGTGCAACAATTAGGGGAGTTAACTAGTGATTTGCCTGAGAGAATATCACGAATGATCAAATGAAAGCGTACTGGGGTTACCATCCACATTAGCCTCGCATGCGCTCTGACAACCAACAGTTGACCCAGAGGAGTCTAAAGGACCTTTCAGGGCCGCCGGACCTGATCAAGTTACGCGTCAGCTTAAGAACACCAAAGCTGGTTCCGGAATTACCTACAATTCGGGTTGAGGTCTACCGGGCAGCCAGGTACGAAACAGCCCTTGTTATTGTCGACACGCAGAGGGATGTTGAAGCCATCGACGATCGATACTATTTGGTACTCGTCAAAGAGCGGCTTCGAGACCGTGATCTATTGCTGACCGTCGACGATGTCCGCAGATCCTGAGTTAGACAGGCTAAACTCAGCGACTGTGACTGGTCCAGTGGGCTGACAATATATAATAATTAGCTCGGATGAAGCAAGCCAGATATGCCAGTCTCACCGTGCCAGTATGCGGGTCACACTCAAGACCTCCGTCACAGCCGCCGTCCAGGCATTGGCTAGCAGAGCCGGTGCCGGTAAAGTCACAGTTCCGCCGGCCCTATACCCACAGCGCCAGTTCTTTCGATAACACCGTCTATATCGATTCGACAGCGTACGCACCCACACGCTCCCCGCCGTCCAATTGTCTGGAATAGTGAAAGTCACGCTGGTGTTCGGGTCTGCCTCCCAACTGATGAGAACAGTGGAAGGTATGTGTAAATATCCACGCGACACTGAGGGCCATAAGTCCGTACCCGGTTGGATAGTCCGGGAAAGCACTGCCGGCGTCCAGATCTGTAAATACCTATGGCAATGGTTCATAATCTATATGGCCTAGACAGAAACGGGATGCTTACAGCAGGCCTAATATATCTTTGAGTCAGACGTCTACACGTCGAGAGCTGAGAACTCACCATACGGTGTAAGAACACGCGTTGAGTACCGTCAGCGTGCGCGCATGGGCAAGTGCCGCCGCACTGAGTGCGATAAGAGTGAACTTCATGAGTAGCGTTCAGAGCAAAGGTACTCCTGCCCAGCCTTTATACCTCTCGAGCGGGTTGACTGCCATGACTGAATACTGTGATATAGAATGAGCTCAGTTGATCGGTGATTCTAGCATTTGTTTTTATGTACGTTACCAAGCGCAGGAGTCGGTCCGAGGCTTACTCTGGGCTGGCCTTGTCTGCCCGCACCGACCTGGAGACGCCTATAGCCGCTCTGTAGATGATATGTACGGAGGCCGAAGCTGTGATGAAGTGAACCCACCTGATCTACCGAGCCGCTCGCCCCGCCAAGTCGAGGGAACATTGCCCCGCATCACGGGCGAACACTGGCTCGGAGGTTCGGAGGATGGGACCCTGCCCATTAAGCAGCGGAACATGCGAGACGGACCTCTTTTCCTCCATTCGATACCAATTTTTGTGCAGATGGTCTGATGAGATGAATACTGCCTGCAGCGTCAGTCTTTAGCCGTCGGAGACTATGGTAGAACATGCCAGTACTCATAAGTTCCTGATGTGTGTGCGAGCTTCATATCTTGTAGCTGTAGAAAACGGGAAATGTTATATTGACCATAGCTGAAAATTCTCCTACTAGCAGTGGGGCACACAGTGTGCACAAGTACTGATGTGGATGGACGTCGGGGTGAGCTTCGAGAGATTCGAGGTCAAGAGATAGTCTGGGGGTCTGTAGTAAGCCAGTTACTTACAATGCATCTAACCCACATCCTCGTTAGTAGAAAGTTGTGTGATTTTAGCAGACACGTGCCTCGTGAACTTTCCGAACGACTAGACTCGCACGTAAATCTGCATGTGAACACAACTCGTTTCGCATTGCCGAGAGCTAACCATGATACACGATAGACGTCGTAGACAGTAAGTAAACCAAGCCATGGTGTTATACAAGATGTCTGCACGAGAGCCACAGTATGATACATTTACCTTCCATGGAACACCGACAACGGCCGCGCAGAGCGCTACAGCTTACGCCCACTTTGCCATGTCCTCAGCGCTCGGGCCCACGGGGTCGTCGGACGCGGCAAGGTTGCACTGGTGGAACGCACGGACCTGGTCGGGCGCGAATGCACCGACGACGGTGTGCAGGACGCCTCGGTTGTGGAATAGGACGAGGTCCTTCTCGTGCCTGGCATGAGGGTCAGCGACAGAGCGTGCAGCGGGCGCTCTCACGGACTCACCAGTCGTGTGGATAGACGAGCTGGGGATGGGGGTCAGCACGGCGGGAAGGTAGGTGAAGGGCGGACTCACGCTGGGGGCGATGGCGGGGCGCTGCATCTTGTAGAGGACGTCGCGCACGGTCGCCAGGTCGGTGATGTGCGCGCCGTCGGGGTACAGCGCGCCCTCGCGGCTCGCGCCTGCGGGCAGCGGGTCGACGTAGAGCTCGCAGATGCCGCAGGGGTGGACCTGGAAGTGCAGGCCGCCGGTCACAGGGTTTTTCCACAGCTGCGCACGAGTTAGCATGATTAGTCAGGGCGTGAGGGCGGGACGCACGAGAGGGAAGATCTTGATCTTTGACTCCTGCCAGGACGGAAGCTGGTCCCAAGGTTCCTCGAGGCCCTCGTCCTCAATCCCGAGCCCGGTAGACTTTGCATGCGCAGGTGTCATCCAGACGTAGGGGTGAGGTGCATACTTGACGCGAGACCGCACAGCAAGACTCTTGAGCTCAGACGGAAGGATCTCGAACATGGTCTTGCCCGAGACGAAGGCAGTGGTACCAAGCGGGACCTCGAGTTCGTCGCCAGTACCATCATCGTAACGACAGATCTGTTTGTTGCCCTTCGGAACGGTGATGCCGTAGAGCGAAGTGACCTTCGGGGGCGACAGATCGTACAGAGCGGCGTCGATGTGCCAGCGGTAGAAGCGGGTGACGCCCTTGGCCTCGTCCTCCTCGGAGACACGGGTCTTGTGGAAGGTCGTGTGCGAGGGGTGCTTGAGCTTCGCCTCGGCAAGGCCCTCGTGGTTGTAGACCACGCCATTGCCAATGAGTTGCACCTGGGGAACACGAGGAATCGTCTTCAAGTCTGGGTGCAGGATGGACTTCTTGGTCTCCCCCGTCTTATTGTTGCCGTGACCGTAACTCTCGGATGTCGGATCGAATGCCTGCAGAAATGAGATGGATGCAAGAGAGGTGGGGGACTTACACACCTTGGTGAGGGCATACTGCTGCTCAGGCGTGACCTCGACGTTGGGGAACAGTAGGACAGAGTGCTATAAAGCGTCGGCTCCAATGCGTCCGCGTTTCTAGGGCTGCGGAGACACACCTTGTACAGCAGCTCTTCAATCTCCTTGAACTGCTCGGGCGTCAGCACCCCAGGATTGATACCTTTGACCTCCCGGCCAAACTCTGCAAACTTGGAGGGGTCAGCAGACGGGGGAAGAGGGAGAGGTGCAACTTCAATGGCCATGGTAGCAAAGCAAGATTTCTGGGCGAAGATTGGGGTGGATAGGCGGCTTATATGCTTCGCTTGCAGCCGAATTCTGGGCCCGCAGGTGATTTTGACAAGCGTAGATATGTTCCGCGTGGCTGAACGTTGAAAACGAGTCAATGTGGATAACTGAGGGCACTGCACGATGTACTGAAGAGGCATGAGGTTTCAACAAGAAAGCTAGTGCATAAGAAAGGCTTTATAGCATGGTCAGACGGGGCGCAGGGCCATACGTCTGCACTCCAAGGTAGGAGGAGGCAAGCTTGGGCGACTCTTGGAGAGGGTGGAATTCCGGCGCCCGGTGATGGCGGCCGGAGATACGCCACCCCCTACGGCGCAGCGCGCCTGTGGCCGACACGCCTCCGCGTTGAACAACGACTACCCTCACCACTTCGACGCGTCTGACTCTCTCATTCTCCTCAATTTCCGTGCCATTCTTGTTGCCTCACCATGTACGGCTCATCAGCAGCTCAAAAGGCGAAGCGACGGACCCACTCGCGACCAGAGCTCACAGACGAGCAGAAGCAGGAGATCAAGGAGGCGTTCGAGCTCTTCGACACGGACAAGGACGGCTGTGTCGACTACCACGAGCTAAAAGTTGCTATGCGCGCCCTGGGGTTTGACTTGAAGAAGGCTGAGGTGCTGAAGATCCTGCGGGATCACGACAAGTCAGGGCACGGGCTCATGGACTTTGAGGACTTTGCCAAAATTAGTGAGTCTCGTGTCTACGGTCTGGTGGCCACATTTGACCGCGTCATATGTCTCAGTGAGCGAGCGTATTCTC